GCTGTCAGCTTTATTGTCTGCCCCATCTAACCGTGTCCTCTCTCCTCACACAACCTCGTGCCCGCCTCTTATCTGCACACAAAATCGCGCCTCCTCTTTCCCTGCAACCACACGCCCCCTCCCTGCGCAACCTTGTGTCTCTCCTCGCAACCTCCTGCTGCCTCCCGTCTTCTTACAACGTGGCGCCCTCTTCTCCCTCGCCCCACGCGCCCTCTGCGTCCTGCACCATCATGTGCCTCTCCCCTTGTCCCGCACGATCTCGTGCCCCTTCTCGTCGCCCCGCCTGCCCAGTGGTTTCCCGAGGTCCGGCACCACTGCCCCAGCACACCCATCATCCTGGTGGGCACCAAGCTGGATCTGCGGGACGACAAGGACACCATCGAGAAGCTGAAGGAGAAGAAACTCGCGCCTATCACCTACCCACAGGGCTTGGCACTGGCCAAAGAGATTGGTATGGGGCTCGGGCTCAGAGAGGGGAGCTGGATGCAGGGGGAGCCCCAACTCAGTCTCTGGTGGTTGCAGACACGGCTCCAGGGCCAGGCTGTGTGGTTCAAACCATGGTTGTGCCGTGTGCTAGCTGTGTGACCCTGGGCCAGTCACTTAGCCTCTCTGTGCCTGTTTCCTCATCAGTAAAACCTGGCCACAGTAACAGTTCTGGGCAATTGGGAGGATTAAATGAATTAATATGCATGAGGCACCTAGAGCAGTGGGAACCAGTCTGTTAGTTATTATTATTAGTATAATCCATAATCAGATCTTGAAGTAAAGTGTGTTTTGCACAGACAGAAGCAGGGATGGAGTGGGGCGCGTTGTGGCTGCTTAGAGGATGAACAGCCAAGTCAGGGTTGGGTTTTACAGGAAGGCTTCCAGGAGGAGGCCCTTCTGCCTTGGGTTTGAAGAGTGAGGCCTTCCCTTCTGTCTCCTCACGTCCCCCCACCATGCCCCCAGACTTCTCAGCCCAACTCCTCTCTGCCTCCTGATCACTGCACCAGAGAAGTCAAGTGACTTTTTAAAGGTCACACAGCTAGTAGGTGGCAGAACTGGAATTTGAACACTGGACAGCAAATTGCTGGCTTAAGGGCACTCCACCTCGCCCCAGGGACCTGCAGGCCCAGGATTTGACCCCCAAATCAGTACAGTGTCCGTCCTCCCCCCACCCCCATCCCTGCCTCAACCCCACCACTCTTCCTTCCGCCGGAAATGGGAGGGCCCTGGGGACTCACATCTCTTCACAGGAAGAGAAACCGCAGCTGCCACCTCCCCCTTCACATGACCAGCCCAGTGACATGGCCATCTTCCTTGGGGGACCTCAGGCTCTGCTTAAGCCCTGGGCCCCGTGCCCCATCCTGAGGGCTCTGGGCCCAGGCTTGTGGGTCTTTCCTCACAAGTATTGGGGGTTGAACCCCTGCCTTCTCTGTCCTGACCAGCCAGTCCCCCTGGACTCCTTCGCCCAAGACTGACGCTCCAGCCCACAGTCAACCCTTTCCCTTTAGAGCATGTGCTCTGGGATAAGAAGGGGCCTGAGAGTCCGGGTGCTGCTCCTGGCTCTGGCACTGACTGTCCGTGTGACCTTGAGCCAGTGGCTTCTCCCGGGGCCTCGGTCTCCCCACCTGCGTAAGCTGGCCTACAGAGTCCCTACAAGCCCCTTCTCTAGAAGGGATGACCTGGGGGTCCTTTCTCTGCCTCCAGCCAGTCCCTCTTGGAGCTGACCCTGGGTAATGGTGGGCAGGGGCAGGGGCTTTGAACTTGTCTTGCACCAGCCCAGGCCAAGAGAGAGGCCTGGAGGGCAGGCGGCAAGGGGTGCAGAGCTGATGAGGACGGCGGCTGCCTCCGCGCACCCAGCTGATGCTCACAGCCCATGCGGACGGAGCTCTGCCTGGGCGCCCGGCCCATGCGTCTCCCTCTTCATTTTCAGAGCAGCTATGAAGGGGGGCTCCTTGAGGAAGGGGTTGGCGGCTCCTCACTTCAGGGAAACTGGGTTGTAGTGGTCATGGAACTCACACGGGGGGTTCCTGCCCCTGCCCCTCTCTGTGCGAGGAGGCAGGCCCCTCGTGGGGAAGGGAGGAGCTCCCGAAGTCCCACTCCCCTTGCTGAGGGCCCCCAGCTTCCCCAGGTGGCGTGTGAGGCCCTCACCTCTGAGAGCCTCAGCTTCCTCATCTTTAAAATGAGGTGATGCTAAGGAATGGTCAGATATTTGGAAGGTCCTGGTGATTAGGCCAGGAGTGCCACAGGCCTCATGGGGGAGGCATGGAGAGATTTGGTCACTAGCTTGAGCCTGTTTTTCTCCAGGAAAGTATCAAAATTCCTTCCTCCCTTCCACAAATTAAGGGCTCATGTGTCCAAGGAAGACATAGACGTGCTCTTGTGGGTCTGAACCCCTGTCCTGAAGTCAGGGTCCCTGTTCCAGGCTTGAGAAAACAGGCACAGAGAGGTCAATTTTCTGCTCTGAGTGACACAGCCTGGGGCAGGTGTGCGTCTTGAGGGGGGGTTTTGCCCAGGACCTTCCCCTGACCTAGGCCTTGGCCCTCTTGCTGCCTCACCTCAGATTCAGTGAAATACCTGGAGTGCTCGGCCCTCACCCAGCGGGGCCTGAAGACCGTCTTTGACGAGGCAATCCGGGCCGTCCTCTGTCCCCAGCCCACGCGGCCGCAGAAGCGCCCCTGCAGCATCCTCTAGGGGTAAGACCCCCCCGCCTGCTTCAAGACACCCCCCCCCC